ACGCAGAGGGAAAGCCGTGCCTGAGGTATTCCCACCATGGCAACACCAGAGACACGGATAATCAGACACTTCAGCCACACTGAAACGATCATTAGTAGTCTTAAAAAAGATATGATCTGTAACTGAGGGCCCCAGCAGGGAGGCAATTTCTAATTACACCCACTCCAGTGCATATGCACGAACCTGATCAGGTTGTTCTCCTCAAAATGCCTCCTGTGCGTGTTCACTGGTTAAAGGTGCAAACTGAAAACACTAATAAAGAGGCTGCTAAGTTCACTTTTCCAAGAGTGTCGCAGCATTACACAAATGTGTCATATCTGGTTGATTGTATTTTAAATATTTTACAGTTTTTAAAAAAATTACATCAACCAAAGAATGTCAGTAAAAGTAAATAACTGAAAACAAACAGTTGATTTAAATGGAAAAAGAACAAATTATTCATGTTTTATGTTTGTTCATCTCGTCTTCTTTAAACAGTTTTTACTTTATCTCTCACATTCCAAACAAACTCAAAGCAGATTATTTTTTGCACATGATCAACTGCTGCAGCAACTCCATCATCTAAAACTATCAATTTTCATTCCCTTTGTTTTACTTTCGATGCATTTTAAGAATTATTTGGAACCTGTGAGTGTTTTATGTATTGAAATTTACTCTAAATTCAGAAGAAATGTGAGATAAATGTTGGGAAATTATGCCACAAGTTGTGGTCTTTAAGTTCTGAGCACATTCAGAAAATCACTTCCTCAAAGATTTTACAATAGCTCGAGTTTCATATTGTACCAAATATTTAGCATCTTGCTAAAGCTTCAGGAAATGTTCTGTAAAGGCTCCCTGAGGGTCTTCTGAAAGTTTAAACAATAATCTTCAAGTTCCTTTAACGGTTTCACCAAAAACTACCTCTCAAATTATTCTTTAAAGTTTTGGTTTTTGTTTTAACACTGAGGACTCCGTGTATTTCACACTGCGGGGTGATTGCCCACTTTTTAAAAAGCATTTGACATTATAGATCACAGATTATTAATGGAGAACATAGAGAAATACAACAAGGTATCACACTAAAAAGTTACACTGACCATGGATATCAATATGTACAAATAAATACTCGTAAATCCAACCTCCTGAAGGGTGTTTTTTTTTGGGGGTTATAAAAGGTTCAGTGTTGGGCTCTGTATGTATATTGTATGTAAAATTAGAAATAAAAATGTATTTTATTTACTAAAATATTGTTCCAGTACATCTGATTTTTCAGTGCCACAAAAAAGCCAGTTTAATTACTTTATATACCTTTAGAATCATATATCTTAGATTTTATATTATAAATCCGTATTTGAAAATTTTTTTAAATAAAACTTTCATAGAAATGTAGTGGAGTAAATGCTCTGCCCCTCTTTAGACTCCATGGAGTAAAGTTTACAAGAAATCTACCAAATTTAAAGATCTAGCACTTTATCAGCAGACAGACAGCTTTTATTTCAGCTTCTTCTTAATTTAGCTATAAAACAAACAAACTATGAACAGAAGCAGCTAAAACATAATTTTTCTTTTGATTTAAACTATGGTGAAGGAATTTTATTGGCATTTTAATGTGAAAACACCAAATGTAATAAAACACTACTTAAGAGTTAGAGAGTTAATGAACCAATAGGTGGAAACATGAGCCCTGAACCTTGTTTGCTGATGACACTAGTTTCTATCTCTCTGGAAAGAGTTTGGAAGTTCTCAATACAGAGCAAAGTTTTGAGGAAATAATTTAATATTAATAATTAAATAGTAATATTAATAATAATTTGTATATTAATATATTAGGTATCATTAGGAACTAGTAAATGTTCTGGTGTACTAAAAATTAGACCCTAGAGTAGTACACTACTGTGCAAAAGTGTTGAGTCACTCCTCATTTCTTTGTGTTTTGCTCCCAAAGAGCCAGGCTTGCAGATTTGTTCTTAACTGGTCTTGAGCAAACGTTCTCAAGGGTTTCTGGGTTTCTTTTTCACTCACTTTCAGTCCAGTACTAATGCATGACCATTTCCAGATGAATGTTTTGTTGCGTGTTAGGCCCCTTAGCACTGACTTGGTATCTCTTGGTATTTTGTGCGGTGTGTGCTTCATAAAACTGAGAAAACTGGACAAGTGGAAGATAAAAGAAGTAGTTTCAGGCCTAAAAATCTATCTACAGCAGATAAATATTATCTGAAAGTTGTGTCCTTAAAAAATTAAAAAATCCAGCCAAGACCTGACACGTGACTTGAGAGATGCATCTGATCCTTCAGTTGTTCAATGAAACCTCATCAGAAATGGTCTCAGTGGTAGGGCGAGTGACAAGAACCCATTCTTGAAGAAGGGAAACAGGGAGAAAGGACTCGGGTATGCACATTACAAAAGAACTGGACTGAAATGTGAATACATATTATAGAGTGATGAATCCAAATTTGAAAAATTTTAGTTCAAATCACTGATATGTTTAATTGAATTTATTGTCAGTATGTACGGAGAAGGTCAGGAGAGAAGTACAACAGTGAGTGTCTACAGCTGCCTGTGAACACGGTGGAGGCTGTGTCATGGTGTAGGAGATTTTCTAAATTGTTAGAATTATGAATCCATAAAAGATTTTGATCCACCATGAAATACCATCTGAAAACCATCTTACAATGGTTTAAATGTTCAATGTGACAACGGTCCCAAACTCACTGCCAATGCAATAAAAGGGTACCTGGAAAAACACACGACGGGACACTATCAGTCATGGATCGGCCTCTGCAGCACCCGGACATTAACATAATTGAAAATGTTGGATCATCTAAATGGAGCCAACACCCAAAGAAGAACTTTGATGGTCCATAGAGAAGCCTGGAGAACTATTCTTGAAGACTCTTCAAAGAAATTACAAGAAAGCTGCTTGACAGGGTTCAGATTGTGCTAAAGAATAATGGCTGGCTTTCATTGTACAAAGTGTATTGCCATGTTTGTTTTCATCTATTTCCCATTTTCCTAGCAAATTTTAAAGGAATAATGGGTAAAGAAGACTTTGCACAGTACTGTAGAATGTGAGCTTTCATTTATAGAAAGGGAGATCATATTGGGTTGGCTTCTGATTTTTGGATGGCAAGAAGAGAAATAGAAATGAAGATGACACAGATCATCGCTGGCTGAAAGTCAGTGCTGTGAGGTGAAGGGATGTTGAAGGGGAAATGTGAAATTGGCAAAAAATTGCCTCTGGCTATGTTATTTATTCAAGTCAGCCTGTAAAAGGAAGAGAGGAAATGAACATTAGGACATTTAATTATATTTAAAAAAAATTGTACTGTCAATAAGATAAGATAACTCTTTATTGAGATTGCACAGTCATACATAGTACAGTAGTACAATGAAATTGGAAATACAATACAAGTGTTAAAAGTCTGAAAAGCAGGAAAGTAAATCCTACTTAATCTTAATCGGGGATACAGCCCTTATCTGCTAATGTGGGCACTGACTTTAAAAGGTGAAGTTTGGCTCCTGCTACTCTGACTTTAGGGGTCTCCTGATCTTCCTGACTAAGTTACCTTTTAAGAGGACAAATTTATCCCCTGAGGTAATCCAGACACTTTTCTTTTACTTAAAGGTCTTGCTAGTGACCTACCTCACTCCAAGAACAGCCTTTTCAGAAGTTATAGGTTTTCTCATTATGCAGGAGGCATTCCATGGATCTTTTAACGTTGTGGCACCAGTTGTGGCACAGTATCTGATCATAAATAAATGCAGTGCAGACAAAAATGGCATAGGAAACACTGAGCACATGTTTTGCAGTATTATGTACTGTAAGTGGTGCTTCATAAGAGTTACAGTGGCCACCCTAAAATGTCCAACGGGGATCTTTAAAATTTATACAGAAATACTTTTTTTTCTGTCTATCATACCTGTTCTGTTACCTATAAAACATTCTTTTATCATTATATATGTTGTTTATGCAAAGAGTTAAAAACACAATTGATACTGCAAAAAATAAATACAACTGAAGGTAGGTTTATATTAATAATTTATTACAGTATCATCAGTACCAAATTATAGATGAAGTGGTGACGTCGTAATGTTTTAATCAATAACTACTTAGAGTGAAGTCATCATGGTTGGGCTGTTTTTACTTTGAAACAGAAGTCTGAAGAAAATCTGAGTAAACATCTTGTTTGAAGACAAGTAATACTTCAAATATTTGTGCAGAACCACTCAAAATATCCCAATTACTGATACCTAATTATGAAACAGTTACACGGGAATTACAATAAAAATCAAACCCTATATTTTAAAACAAAAACATGCATATATATCCACTCCAGAGGATAAAAAACTAATAAGGAGATTGCTTTCTACAGAGCTGCAGCCAATGATTGTTTTAATTGTGGATGGATTTGTTTATTATTTTGTGACTGTTTATGGAAACAAAACAATAAGATTCAATTAGAGCTTTCAGTTTAGAGTAATTTGGTTTACTGCTGTTTTAAAAAAAATTCCTACAATTTAAATCAGTAATCAAAACCGTTTTACTGGAAATTTTGTGGCAGGAAACATTTATGATTAAAACTAAGCAGCGCAGATAAATATATTCAACACCTGAAGGTTAAACACACTTTAGCATTTAACCATACTTGGACTCTACTTAAGTTATAGTAGGCTACAGAAATTTTAGCATAAAAAACATTTAAAGTACTTAAAATCATACCTCATGGGGCAGGTGCCACCCTGTGCCACCTCCACCTGGACACGCCCCTGCCTGGCACTATTTTTTCTTCGCTGTTGTGCTTTTATAATTTTTAGTCTAATGTTGAATTTCAGCATTCAGTCAAAGCTATCGGTGTCCGTGAGGCTGGATGGAAAAAAATGTTAACGCGGATAGGCTGCTCTCTTTCTCTCTCTCGTTCACTCATCATACCTGCGCGCGCCCCTCTCTCTCTCTCTCTCTCTCTCTCTCTTTCCGCCACTTCAAAGCTCTACTTGAAAGTGGGCTCGAGACAAGAGTTGTTGTCCTTTCCGCTGTGCTTGTGCCACGCGCTGTCATCGCCACAATGCCTCGAGGATTCTTGGTAAAGAGACACCGGCGAGGCTCGGCGTCATACCGGTCACGGAGCAACAACAACAACCCGGAGGGTGACCGGAACGGCGGCGGCGGGGGGTACAGCTGTGAAGCGACCGGAGCAGAGAGCCACGTGCTCAGTGTTTTCCCGTTTCAGCGGCAGGACGGAGAGTTCCCAGTGTCCCGCGAGGACTCCGCTGGTGTCAGGGAGGCGTGGAGCCCGCACGTGGAGTCCGCTCTGGAGGCAGAGGCGGACCGGCGCGCGCAGTTACCTGAGAGCGAGTTGGACGCTTTGAGCCCCGACGGTGACTTCTCTTGCTTCTTCCCGCCGCCGCCTCCGCCACTCACAGACTCCTGCAGCCCCGTTAAACCGGTTGGCACGAGACTTCTTGAGCAGCGCGAGGAAGGAGAAAAACAGCTGCTGTTCACGGGCAGGTGTCTGCCGTCCTCCCCAGTACCCGACCTGCCGGACCTGCCGTTCCTGGTCAGCTCCACGCCGACCTCGGTGTCCGCCTCCATCGAGAGGATCCTCGCGAGCAGCAGCCGCCACCACGCGCCGTCCTACGGTCACGGTGACAAGTATGACCCTCCCCACGTGCACCTGTTCCCGCATCTCACCGTGATGAGCCAGGAAGTGGCGAGGAAACGCTCGTTCCTCGAGCCGAGCAGCAGCAGACACAGCAAACAGTCTGCGTGCAGCAACCCCACGAAAAAACCCAAAGTGAACCGGAAGCTGAACTTCGAGGACGAGGTCACGACCTCCCCGGTTCTGGGTCTGCGCATCAAGAAGGAGAGCCCCGAGCTGCGGAGGCACCGGGAGAAGTCGTCCGGCCCCGGCGGGAATCAGCCGCTGGGGGAGTTCATCTGCCAGCTGTGCAAAGAGGAGTACCCCGACCCCTTCTCCCTTGCGCAGCACAAGTGCTCCCGCATAGTGCGTGTGGAGTACCGGTGCCCCGAGTGCGACAAAGTCTTCAGCTGCCCGGCCAACTTGGCCTCTCACCGCCGCTGGCACAAGCCGCGCCCGGTGAGCAGCCCGGCAGGTGAGACCCCGACCCCCAACAAGAACCTTTCGCTCAAAGAGGCACGAGGGCTCGCTCAGCACGAGAGGCCGCCGGTGGAGTTGGAGGGCAAGGAGAACGAGCTGCTGCGCGTGAACACCAATCAGCACCACGCGGCGCTGGACAGCTCCCGCATGAGGCGCGAGCAGTCTAAGCTGCTGCTCCACGCGCGGTCCCGGGACAGCCCGGACGGCGACGGCCTCGCGCCTCCCCGCTACGACTCCTCTTCGCGTTACCGGAACCCGGCCGAGAGCTGCCTGGACCTGCAGCCGCAGGTGAGAGCCGCGGACAGCCCGCCGTCCAGTCTCCTCGTGCTGAACCCAGAGGAGCGCGCGGACCTGCCCCAGCAGCAGCTTCCGCCTCTGCCGTTTGTTCAGTCGTTACCGGAGGAGGTGTACGAGTGCCGGTATTGTGGGAAGAAGTTCCGGCGGCAGGCTTACCTGAAAAAACACCTGGCCGCGCACGAGATGACATCGCGAGCGTCTCCGCCCGCTGCATCTTACGGCCAAGCGCGCGAGCCCAGTTCCGGACAGAGCCAGGTGTGCCTTTGTCACCTGTGCGGCGCGCGCTTCCCGTCGGTCGAAATCAGGGACAAGCACCGGCTGTGGCACGCGATGAGGGACGAGCTGATGGCGGAGACTCTGGGAGGAGGACGCAGAGGGGACGTTTTCCACGCGCACAGAGAGGAGAGCGGTGGCGGGGAGTGCGACCACCAGCAGCAGCAGGAGCAGCAACAGATCTTCACGTGCAAACACTGCCCCTCCACTTTCTTCAGCTCCCCGGGACTCACGAGACACATCAACAAGTCTCACCCCACTGAGAACCGGCAGGTGATGCTGCTGCAGATGACCGTGCGGCCGTGAGTCGCGCGCAAAACTGTGGTTTGGAAAAGAGGGGGAAAAAGTTTATTTATCAAGAAGTCCTTTCAGAAGCAAGTCTCGCCACTCGGTAGCCATCTTGGTAACACCTCCGGGCACTTATTTTAAAATATTGAATTAATTTTAATGGTCACCTGGACACAAAAACTGCTCGTAGATACTAAAATCTGATAAAATAACATCTCAAAATGTCTTTTTTTCCCTCTCCCACAAAGCTATCAATCTACCACAAACCTCTGATTGATTCTTCTCTGGGTGCTTAAATAACACATTTATAGTTCTGCTGAAGTATATTTGGACTATATGCTATGAGTAAAAGATGCTGAAGATGACCTGTAACTGTCCAAGGTGCTGAAACCCTGCCTGGAAACTGGCTTCTACACAACCATCCTAGCTCGCTTTTCCTTAAAGGGAAAAGAGGATATTTTAAGTTACCGGACAAAACAAATAATCCAGAATAATGTTAACCGATTAAATTATTTCTTCTTATTACTTACAGTTCAGCTTTTCTTGCAAATAACCTGGCACTAAAGCTCATTAATGGCACCACCAGAGTGAGTAAAACGGGCCCAACAGCCAGTCATTTTGAACTTGGCATTTGTTTTTATGTTCACTAAAGCTTAGGAGTGTAACCATAATGGGTGATCTTCCTCCTTCTCATCCTAAAAAACTAAATTTTCAAACCACAAATGTACAGAGATCAATGAATAAGAGTAAAGAGAAAACAATCATTAATTTCTCAGCTATAAAATATTTTCATACAGAAATGAAACAGTTAATGTTATACTGCTATTAAAAAAAGGTCTTTTGTCTTTGATTATTCATGTTGAGATATTTGCTAAATGCCTTTATGATGCTAAAAATGTAACGTGTGGTTCTATGAAGACTGTACGGTCCTATTTTGATATGGCTGAATGTGAAACTAATGACACAATTGTGAATAAATGTGAGTAGAGTCCAATCAACACTGCGCTGTCAGCCTGCTGCTGTTATTGTTTTGAAGCTGATTAACCACACAACTCTGGCAGTTACTGGTACAAATTGTTTTATTGTCAAACTCCATCGTGGCACATCCATACGCTTGCCGTGTGGCCGGCGTTAACACATGTTCACACAGTTGACAGTTTGTGGAGTGTGTGCGCAGTCAAAGCATGCAGTGTGTGTAATCAGTAGTATCCATCAGGTGGGGGATTTACACTGTTTCTCCTCTTCAGATGAAGAGTGACGCCGATATGACTTATTCATGCTCTTTGGGTGGAAACTAGTTGTAGGGGACAAAAAAAAAAGAACAGTATGTACAACCCGTGGATCTTTAAAGCAGCATCTGAACGCTAATCCACTAGCGCGCGTAAACATGGTGCCGTCGTGTGGTTTCGGTGCTGGGACGGAGTTTGGGGTGTGAACTGAGCAGGCTCGGTGACCTCTAGTATACATACACACATATATATACACGCAGCATGTAGAGATCAGGGTGCAGTGGGGCCTCTCAACCATTCAATGGTGCTTTGACCTCAGTGACAAAAGTAACAAGAGTAAATAATTTAAAGGGAAGACTCAAACCTCAGCTGACTTCAAGTAAGTGCACATGAATCTGATCTCCTCCTTTTTAAATATTAAGTTTGAAATAAAAGAAAATTGTTACACAATCCCTTTAATCTATAGAGTATATGGCTGAAACGAACAGTAACAAAACTTTCACCAGTAACAGACACGGGAAGAGCGTTCGTTTAACCTTTTTTCCTCTAAACTCACAGAAAGAGAAACTGAAAATGTTAAATACATTAAAAAAAAAAAGTGGTAGTGTTGCGACTGCATGCTGATGCCCCCTCCCTCAATGACACCTCTTTTTCTTCCCCTTCTTTGGCGGTGATTCTCTCATTTTTGTATTTTTTTTTTCCCCCCAACCCTGAAAACTGCCTACAAAACACTGAAAATGAAGCACTAAACCAACTCTTAGTGGACTTTTGTGGACCCAGATCCCAACACGCGGAAGTGTGTTTTAAATACCAGTCCCCTTTCCCCCCCACCCACCAGCCTTTTACAGTAATTCATGAGAATGATGATTCCCTCCATACAGATTTACAAGCTCCATCACGGGAAGAACAACGTAGAATGAATTTAAATTCCTGGACGATGAAGAGCAAGCTGGTTATGAAAGCTTGAAATCTTGTAGCGCTAACCTACTTTTTGTTTTGTTTTCTAGCAAGTCTGTGGTTTGGATTTCAATCACAGTTTGGCTTTGGCAGCTATAACCGTATGTACACACGCACAACAAGCTTCCTTACACTGTACACATTCTTATAGATATTCATATATCTACTATGTATGTGTATATATATATATATTTATACTCATATAGATATACAACATATACTCGAAGGAACAAAGAAAGAAAAAGCTGTGGTTCTTTGCCTCAGATGAAGGACTGACTAAAAATACAGTAACATTCCTGTTCGGGTCAAAACTCAGTTTACAGTCAATTAAAAGAAAAAACCCCAACATGTTAATATTAATATCAGTGCTTGTTTTACAGCATCAGAAGAAAACAAAATGATATATGCAAGTGCCTCCTCTTCCATCGGTCGGTCCTGTTAATGATCATCAGAGGAAGTTCAGACTTTTATTCTGGATTCAAACACGGAGAACGTTTTTTTTTTTTTTTTTTTTTGGCTTGAGAAACTAACTTTCTTTATCATTTCAGGTCTGTGCTGCGCACAAAAAAAAATAAAAATAGACTTATCGCTTTCTTTACAGCCTCCACTCCCACCTCTGCCCCCCCCAGCACACACACGCACAAAATAGTACAAATATACAGATTCCTTAAAGGACACTTTTCTTCTTCTTTGCAGTCCTGCTCACACCGACTGGCATTGTGTGCACTTTCTAACATGGCACAGGCTGTTATGAACTAATACTGCACTGCTAATTTTACTACTCAACATGCTGCAACACTGGTTTGACTTGTCTCTCTGTGTGTGTGTGTGTGTGTGTGTGTGTGTGTGTGTGTGTGTGTGTGTGTGTGTGTGTGTGTGTGTGTGTGTGTGTGTGTGTGTGTGTGTGTGTGTGTGTGTGTGTGTGTGTGTGTGTGTGTGTGTGTGTTTTTCCCAAGCAAAGCTGTAGATATACAGAGCAGCATCTGTGAGTATTTTTCAAAATAAAACTTACAGTATTGCCCATAGAATACTTTTATATATATTTAGTACAAGAGAACACGTGTGCCCATTAAAGCCCAGGGTCCAACCAGAAATACAACATGCTGGGATGAATCAGCGCCTACTCAAGAGTTTATATTAATTTGCTTACATACCTAATTTTGTGTGCTTTGTAAACGGACCAATTTAAAATGGCTTGTTTTTGAGGATCCTGATACCTCCGATTGGCTGATATGAAAGCTTTTTGTTTCCTAATGTGATATCAAGTGTGAGTTCTGGCTGAGTCCTGCAGTTTGGGGATTTCAGGTCTTATTGGCTGATCCGGAGGAGCGTCGCAGCTTCATGGACATGCGGCTCTTGCTAGTCCGAGGAGACATGGGGGACGCCGTGTCGCTCCCGGCCTCCCCAAGAGCCGGACTTTCTCCCCGAAGAATCTCTAGGCAGGAGCCTGAAGAGGAAGAAGAATAGGAGGAGAAGGGGGGTTTGAGGGGAAGACAGGCGAGGTGAGGGGGTGGAGGTAAATAAGGAGAAAAAGGATGAAGGGACAACAATAAAATTATATTTCAGCCCACTGTGATCTACGAAGCCACACTGCACAGATTCCTACAGTCACAGAAGCAGGACAGTCAGATAAACGGACACACAGCTAGAGACAGGAACCTGATAAAGCTCTATTTCCTTAAGTTAAAGGTTCCCCAAAACCACTAGACATGTGCATGACCTATACTTAATGTGAAACAGAAAAGTAATTATTTAAACCAACCAAAATTAAGTGAATCTGAGCTAGCGAGCGAGCCTCACTGATAGGACATACTAACCCTTTACCAGTGACTACAAAGACATTTTAAAGTTTTTCCTGCTTTGCAGCTGAACCTCTTATAGAACAGGTACCACCTCTATCAGGATAGCTTTGGATGATACAGTTTAAAGCAAGGCTGCCAAACTCATTTCACGTACAGCTCACTTTGATGTTAAGTGGGCTGGACGAGTGAAACTCACCATTGTGTCAGTGTAAAGACGTTTAGATAAACATTCAGTCCCTGAGACATCTTAATACAAGAAACAGAAGTGCAAATTAAATAGTAGGTCTCAGGTTTACTACGTAATAAAGAAATGTTCCAACAGAACGACATCTGGGCTAAACCTGCAAAAAATAAATGTTTAAAATTGCAGAGAAACTTCTGGTAACTCCCTGCACAGACTGTCCTGTAATTTAAAGTATTTTAAAGTGCAATTTAAAGTTCACAATTTATTCACCATCTCTAGTGCATACCATTCACAGCTAGCATGAAGAACCTTCTGCTTAAGACCTTTCCCTTTAACCCTGAGCTGGTTAAAGCTGTCTAGTGGTTTCGGGACCATCAGATACATTGCACTATGCTCCTCTAATGAGTGGAAGTTAGGAGAGGATAAAGGAGGAAAGAGAGAAGGACAAAGAAATAAAGAAGGTATTGGAAGAGGAGCAGTTAAGGAGAGAGAAGAAAAAGAAAACTGAATAAAAACAGAAAAAAGAAAAAGCCACACGTGTAACAGAAAGGAGCAGAAAGACACACATGACAGACTTCACAAGCACATTTACAATACGTACACGTACATAATGAGTACACATATAACAGAGCATATTCACTTAATTTGTCCCATCCCTGTTACATTGAAAGAGCACAATTGAAAACACAGAAAACAGCGTTAGTCCAACATTCAAACAGCTTTTGTGCACATGTGCAAACCTATGCTTGGTTTACCACTTTTAACAGGGTGTCAGAGTGCATATTTTTGAGCAGCACTATGGCACTACATCATATCACAACCGGGAAGAGAGAGAGCGAGAGGAGCATACAAAAAGGTTAGAGGTCAAGTTTCACCAGGTGAGCATGACATCGGAGGTTAACAGAACGACCAAGTTATGGATCGAGTGGACAGACAGGCGAAAAGGACGTCTCACTTTCACCCAGCCTCGGAGAGAGATTTGCTATGATGTTCGTGTTGTGTTTGAGGAACATTTATCAGGATGCAGAGTGGGTACGTTAATAAATCAAGATGTTATTTTCATCCCGACAGCCAGTGAGTCAGACATCTCAAGAGGAAGACAAAATGTTTCCCTCTAAGGTTGTCTTCTTGTGCCTGTGATGAGTGAAACTCACCTTTGCGGCAAAACTTTTAAAATTTGTAGATCGCTCTGTGGAAGTCCCATTCTCACCACTTGCAGCTGCCTGTGTTAAATCTTTAACCTGAAGTTCAGATGTAGAAGCTATGGGGAGCTAAATCTACCGAATATAGCATGTGGTGAACATGGTGTGGATAAAAAGCACAAACGGTGTGCTGACTGGGTTCACAAGGGCTCACACCACAGGTCAGGGGGTCTGCAATGACTCCTCCTTTTCAGAAGTCTCAGGAAATCTGTGTTAGTTGCAAAAGATGGATGCAACCCATTTCTTGGGTTGCTTGGATGGTCTGTTAGTTCAACTATAACACAGCAGGCCCTTATATTTTTCACTTTAATGATTAACAATTATATAAAAGGTACCAACAGCATACAGATCCAGTCACCAGTGGGGGTAATTACCATTATTAACTGGGGAAATTACTTGTGGAGATCAGGCTGTGAACAAGCGCATTCCTGCTGGAAAGGCGTGCATTCTAGCACGGGAGTCTGCAGGGACTGACTGCAGCTTTTGGAAGCAGCTTAAAGTTTTAGTTTTAGCCCCAGAAAGTTGCTGCTTGGACAGAAAAGGACTTCAAGGAAAAGACAAACAACTAGCACTTAGATAAGGAGACCAACCTGAGTAAGAGACACTTTAAAATTTAAACCAGGCGATGGTTTTGTTTTTAAGAATAAATTAAAACTGGACTTATTTGTGTGTCTGACACTCAAGAATAAAAACAAGTGTCTTGCCCTCTTACTGCCTCTGATAATGATCCATAAAACAAAAGTCACACCAAACCACAAGTTGAAAGTGAGGCTTCCTTTTAAAGTGAAGGCAGCTGTTAATACATGCAGACCTGGTTAAACAGTCGAAAACACAGGAGGAAGAAGAAACGGAGAGATGGAGAAATCACAGGAGTGTAAAAGCTAGACTGTAACGTCCTTAGGAAGAGCCAGTCAGAACTGGGCGTGTCAATTATGTGACCAGGCTTACCTTTTTAGCTATAGGCAAGTGAGACAATACGATCTAAAGGAGGGGGGGGGAGGGGGACAAAAAGAAAATAAAATGGGTGGGAAAAATTGAAATAAAACAAAATAAAATAAGAACAGAGAGAAGAATGATTGATCATTGTGTTTGTTAAGAGAGGTGAACCTGTGAGTAAATACAGGAGGGGGAGGGCAGGAAGTGAATTACTCTGGGTTGACTTCAGAGCACGGGATCATCAAAAGTTTGTCAAAAGCAGCATCTCAATTCACAATTTTTAGATGTGACACACTCATCGTGACTAAAGATCAAGCAGGCTTTATTACTGGGATCTGATCCTGCGCTCTGAAAGGGAATTTGGGGCCCAACCCATGACAAACCAAAACAGAGCCTTTAATAAGTTACATTTAAATGCCATTTAATAAGAATGAGTGAAAATTTGTGGGTGGGGTGGGCGGGGGTGTTGTGCCAGATTTATTTAACCTCAAAGCAGGTTGATTATTGTTGTATTATTATTAATATTTTGACACAGCAGCTGGTAAGATGAGGAGCAGGTGGCTAAGGAAAGGAAACAGGCATCAATTATACAAATATTAAGACAAACGCACACAGTCACACCTGTCACGTGTCCCTACAAACCATCATTTGATTACACCACGCACTTCTGCTCCTTCAGGTCACACATTTATAAGTCTTTAAGAAGAAAATATGCGGCTTACCTACAAAAATTAATTAATTTTTAATTAGATTAAACTGGAGCCAAAGGACAGACCAACATTTTAAGCAGATAATTTGCAAGGACTAATGATCTGTATCGATTTAATAAACTTAAACAGGATACATATGAGAGTCATATTTAAGTCCCATGTGCGTGCCTGGCATCTCTACGGCTGATCAGATGTCAGCTAATTCCTCAGAGGAGCTCTAGAGAGAGAAAAAAGGGCCCGAGTGCAGCTTTGGATACAAAACAGAGCTCAGCAGATACTCAGGCTGTGAGCTATAGTGTGTGTGTGTGTGTGTGTGTGTGTGTGTGTGTGTGTGTGTGTGTGTGCGCTCTGAAGTTCATCCTATCAAATCTGGACAATGAGTGCCAGCAAAATACAATCTGTACACAACAAACACAAAATATGTGGGATTTTTTATTGAGTATGTCACGCTGTTATCGTCGGGGCTCCGGCACCAATTTAAGAATCAAAATCTGCCATTTTAAGACATTTTTAATTAGAAGTGAACAATGTAGAAATGTAAAGTGCTCAGAAGTGCAGCGATCCCTGTAACAGGGCAGCGTTTGATGTTTTCTTTGGCCACACTTGAAACTAAAAAGTCAAGCCTCCTGTATGTAGGGAGGGTTTCCATACGTGTAGTCCTTTGGAACTGAGTACTTTTCTTTTAAAAAAAAAAAAAAAAATTAGCCATTTCATAGGATTTTAATATTTTTTGTACATTTTACTTTTTATTTACCTGTTTTTCCTTTGAGGACATAAAACAAAAGGACTAGAATAGAATACCAATAGAATACTATTTGGTCCATAATTTAATGCTAACTTTAGTCCTCAGCGAATGAGTCAGAGTGCATTTCTTCTACTATGTCCAACTACTGATGTGCCAAATATATCCCCTCTAAACTAAAAGAACTTTATCTGAGAATAGTTGCAGTTTTTGGTTTAACTGTTTATTTTTCATATGAGGTGTAATAAAGAAACCAATTAGGCTTTTCTACCCATATTTACCCGGTCGTTTAGAATTAGTTGATTAACGTGAACTTAAGTGTGTTTCATGAATACTGTGGATATTTTCTGATTTCACAGGGGTGTGCACAGAATTTCTGAGACCTTGAAACGTTAAAAGTACAGGACATATTACATATTACTGTGTGCTGCACTTTTTTCTGGTACCCTGAATGTTGGACTTGTTTCCAGATAATTCACTGGAATGCAATATTTGCATACACTTTAAAGGGTCAGGAGACCATGTGGGACATGTGGCTCCTTTTTACCTTAATTTTAACACCATCTCATGTTATGGCTAACACCCAGATTTATAGCCTATTTCATACATTTGTTGACAGGTGTAGCTGCTGCTGCTGTGGTCTCACCTGTGTCAGAGGGCAGGTGAGTGCAAGGAGCAGGACTGTAGACTCGGGCTGCGTAATCCTCAAACGTGGTTGGCTCCTGGTGGTTCTGCACGATATTTTCTAAGTATCGGGCGCGCTCCTCATAGCTGAGTTCAAAGGTCAAGGACAACTCAAACAGGAGCAGAAACACAGACAATAACAAAAAGAAGCACAATGGGTTAACTTGCCCTTAAAAAGTTATTAAAACCACCACTAGAGGCAGACCAATGCAGGATTTTTAGGAACAATATCAATTCCAATACTGATATTTGGTGATTTAAATATCCGATACATCAACCAATATTTTATTTTATTTTTATTTTATGTCAGAAATTAAATAGCTTGTTTACACTCAGCCAGAGTCCGCTTAGATTTGCTGCCTGTTGTTGTGGACAAATATGGATTATCAGCACTTGTACCATGGTTGATGATAACTGATTAAATCTTTAATTATTCCAGAATCATAGTCAACAGAAACAAAATAATTCAAATAACACAAAAACAAGATAAAAACAAAAGCATCCAATCACCTTCCAACAGAGAGAAATACACCAGTGTTTCTGGGTCTTATTGTATTTATTTTTAAATTTTCATCGGTATCAGTCGCTATAAATGCCGATACCAATATACCTAAAAAGGTCCTGTGGTTCGAGCCTACATCTATAACTGCCGCTACACAAAAATGGGACAGGAATAAAACACAAAATAACCATTATGTTTGTTTCTTTTAGTCAAACTTACAAATACACATTTAAGGTGAAATTACTGGTCATGGTGAATATGGAGGTGATAAAGATACAAGATCAAGTTGCACACTGGTGCTGCGGAGCTTGAAATGGGTGGTGTTACAAAGGACACCGGCCAACTGGGGGACTGAAGACCAGGATAACTGTTTCTGTTGTAAATATGAAAATCCTTCAAATTTATGGGGACAATACTGCTCGAGGCCAATCATTACCAAAAAAACACAAAACCTTGCTAATTAACTGTTTGCATACTTCATACGATTAAATGTGAAACTAAAATGAAGTTGAGCTACTTTAACAAAGCTTTCTCCAATTTCAGTCCCCCCTCCTTTTCTAAACACATTGCATGGTTATGAAAAACCTTTGATGTTCCAAGAGAGAGATAAAAAAAAAAAACTACATTCAAGTCTCATGTGCTTCCAAATTTTTTTCAAAGCTCAATGTGCTAAATGTGGATTATTTGTCAAGAGTTTAACCCTCAATAGAAATCCACCGCATCTCTTATTCAGGCTGCGTAGGCCTTGTAGGCCGGCAAATAACCCATTGTGAAATAATCTGCAATGTCCTCCAAATTCATGCAGTTTAACATAATTCAGTACTGTGTGCGTCATGCTTCAATTCAGCCCTCCAAAGTGAGCTCTCTCACTTATTATGGCCCTCTGGAATAACAAATATCAGCCGGCCGTGCCCTAAAACGAACACTTATATAAAAAGGGAGTAAACTTTTTAAAAGATTATAGTTTCTGGTTTAATATAATATAAATGATAAAAGAACTCAAACCCTAATTTGGAGCCCAGTACAAGAAAACTGAAATACCACGTGTTTATTGAATGACCATGTACCTTCATGTCCATGTGACTCTACAGAGAATAATCCAGCCAGAGACAGAAAGAGAGAAAAAAAACCTTGCTATTTATCACTTGCTATTATTCAAAACGAGAGGCGCAGCGATTCAGCAGAGAGCAGAGTAAATGGAAACCAGGACTTCAACTGTCCATCTATTAGAGATAACCTCATTGATAGAATGACATTTACCCTCTCTTGCTTAGTCCTTCTCATACATCCCCCCCATAATGACAGACACGCACAGCTGTTACGGCCTCCTGACACACACGCGCACACCCATACACAGATATAAACACACACACAGTTCAGTCCCATCATCTCCCAACAGAATGACCATTTGCTCAGTGAGCTCCAATAACAAGGGCTTTTCAACGAGAAAACAGTGTTTGTGTGTGTGTCCGGGTTTGATAAGTTTGGATGTGAGAAAGCACAGTGTGGTTGTGTGCACGTGATGCTGTTCGAGTGTGTGATGGGATTAAGCCAATGAATCTTCAGAATGAAATCTGTGTGTGTGTGAGTGCACGTTGTGAATGGCTCGGCCATCTGTAACAGCACCCATGGGTTTTCTATTGGGTTAGAGAGCTGGTCTATGGGCCTCAGAAGGAGAGAGATTCAGGTCTAATGGTAACTGATTCAGTTACAGACAATGATAATAACAACAATATGGCTGCTTTAAAGTGCGCTGGCACAACAGAGGGGAAAGGAGGGGGACAGATAAGTGGAAAAAAAGCAGGGAAAATAGAGAGGAGGAAATCTATATAAACTTGTGACAGGGTGACGGTTTGTCAAAGATTGTTTCTGACATTTACCAGACTTGAATTCACGGGAACGTCAACGTCTAAAAACAGCTGTTATTGTTTAAAAAAAAACAAAAAAACCCAAAAAACTTGTCGAAACCTCAGAAGGAGGGACGGGGGTCGGAGGTGCAAATGCAGTGAGATGCTGAGGGAGGAAGAGAACTTGTTAAAAGGGAAGCAGCGAAGGTGAAGATGAAGGAAGGGTGAGAATCCTGCGGTGAGCCGCAGAGGAAGCGAGGCAGCGACGGCGATGTTTAAGTAACAACACGAGAGCCGGGAGAGGTGCGGCAGGCGCACAAAGACCGTCGAGCCGGCGCCTCGCACGCCGAGTCTCTGTGTGATCTCGCCGTTTGCCCTTTCCTGCTTCCCCCTCACCGCCATCGCACCTCCCCCTTTGGTGAACGAAGGTGTGTTTGTGCGAGTCGGAGGGGGAAGAGAGGTGTGCATGTAATGCAATTAGGAGATAGAGGTGCTATTATATAGTCAGGCAAACAACACCTAATCATCTTCATATCATGTTTTAATAATGTGTCTGAGAAAGGGGGAGGGGAAAAAAAGGCACATAAAAGGCTCCCATTTCCTCATTTCTGAGGAGGTGAAAAGGTTTAAAGGACACCCGCGGGAAAGAAAGATGTCTGCAGAGACGGGAGAATAAGGACAAATACATACAGAGACGCAGTACCACTGCTGAGATAAGTGACGGGAACATCTCTTTCTTCCCTCGTCCTCCGTCTGCCTCCTTTATACCTCCTTCCCTTTTTGTTCCTCTCAGTGTGGGTTGTGTCATCGTGTCACAAACACCAACTCCCCACTGGGATGAGGCGACATGAGGAGGACAGGGACGACGGACCGATGTGCAAAACATACACGAGCAGTAATCTCACCTTCATCAGCGGTGGAAAGCTTTAAAACACTCTGCACGGAGAACGTCGGCTACACCGGGCTGTTCTAGCAACGAAGATGTCCACATGGGGTCTTTACATCTTTATAATTAATGTCTCTACAACATCGACTGCATATTAAACCTTTTTTCTTATTTTTTTAATGAAGTCACGTGTGGTCTCGACACCTTGTCCTGCCTTGGGAACCTCGAGAAACCCTGTTAACGCTGCTTCGAGACACTTCGCCATCGAAGCAAACTTTAGCACTTTTCTTTACGTGACAACATTTAGAGCAAAATATTTATCTGTATGACTTCTTTAAGCCAAATTAAATACAGGTCCTGTGTGTCTCTTTCTGCTTCAGCTTTTACAAACATTTTTCTCTTATTTAATACTGAAAATTAAGTCTTAATAACAGAAACTGTGACTGAGATTTAACGATTTTAGGTTTTCTAGTTATTTATACCCCCAAATTTTTAATCCTCCTCTGTGAAGCATTTCAGGAGGCCGGTCTGCACGAAGCACAGTACTGAAATAAAGTTATTATTATTGGTATTAAAAAAAAAGAAAAAAAGTAGAAACCATTGAGAGGTCATAGAAAATAGAGTTGAAATGCGCTCGCACATCTCTGCCTCCATCCATCCCTCTGTCCCTCTATCCAAATGGCAGTTGCAACTATGAAATCTGCTGTAATTGAATTTCAGATGGCTCCTCTTATTAAGTCATTAGCAGAAAAATATCCCTCTTTCAGTGAGAGAAGGGGAAAGAAAGAGGGAAAATTATAAGGGGAGGAAGAGGGGAGGAAGGCTGGTGAGGGAGAAAAAGAAAGCATAGCAGAGAAAGGCAGACAGGAGAAACATGGAGGAGAGAGGGGGCGGATAAAGAGGCTCTTTTGTGTCGAGTCAGAAACTCATTTTCTTGTGCGTGGCTGAAAGGAGTGGAGAGAGTGAAGTGTTCGTGCTTTCCTCCTGCTCTTTCTCCCCCTCTTCTGTCGCTCTCTCTCTCCCCATTTCAGACCTTTTCTCTCCCGCAGCGCCGCTCATTGTGGCGGTGTTCGACTCCTGTGATCACTTGAGACGGAGGGAGGCTGGAGGAGGAGAGGAGGCGAGGGGAGGAGAGAGGGAGCTTGTTAGCGCATTAGGAGTTGGGCCCACTGCTGGGATGTGTGTGTATGGCAATGTTTGTATGTAGGGGGTGTGTGCTGTGAGACTATATATAAAGTCTGTAGAGGTAGAAATGTGACTGTATGGTGTCTACAGAGAGCATCAAAACCCGGTTGTCAATCAATAATGTAATTAATAATTATTAATGCCATTATTCTTACACAGCACGTCTTTTATTCTGTCTTCCTTCTCTCTCCCCAACTGGCCCCGCCCCTCCCTGAGCCTGGTTCTGTCGGAGGTTTCTTCCTGTTAAAAGGGAGTTTTTCCTTCCCACTGTTGCCAAAGTACTTGCTCATAGTGGCTCATATGATTGCTGGGTTTTTCTCTTTATGTAGGGTCTACCTTACAGTATAAAGCGCCTTGAGGTGACTGCTGTTGTGGCACTGTATGAATAAAATTGAAATGAATTATTTAGTATTGTTTAGTTTAGTGGTTCGATCCCTGGCCACTCGAGTCGCATGCCAAAGCATCCTTGGGAAAGAATGACTTTTAGATTAAGTGCTTTGAGTGTAGAGTAGAAAAGCACTGTACAGGAACCAGTCCATTTATCTTGTTTGTGCATTGAAAAAACATGAAATTTTTAACCCAAGACATGAATTTTACTACATGAGCTTTTTTCCTATAACGACCTTTTTTTAACATCATGTGAAATAAAGTTTTGTTCTAAAGGCAT